TTTGTGAAAGAAACAACAACGACACTAATTTTCTGGAGACCACATATCTTGTTTGTGAAAGAAACAACAACAGCACCAGTTTTCAAAAGACTACACAGCTTGTTTGTGAAGAAAAAAACAACAGCATCAATTTTCAAAAGTCTACAGAGCTTTTTTGTGAAAGAAACAACAACGACACTAATTTTCTGGAGACCACATATCTTGGTTGTGAAAGAAACAACAACGACACTAATTTTCTGGAGACCACATACATTGTTTGTGAAAGAAACAACAACAGCACCAGTTTTCAGAAGCCTACACAGCTTGTTTGTGAAAGAAACAATAATAGCATCTATTTTATGAAGATCGCACAGTTTGTCTGGAAAGAAACAGCAACAGCACCAATTTTCAAAAGCCTACACAGCAACACGAATTTCCAGAAGACCTGACAGACTACTTATGAACGAAAAAAACGACACTAATTTTCTGGAGACCACATACGTTGTTTGTGAAATAACAATTTCCAGAAGACCACACCGTTTATCTGTGAGAAAAACAATAACAGTAATAATTTTGAGAAGACCTCATGTTCCGTCTGTAGAACAATCCCATATGCTTGGTTTAAATAAAAATTTCAGAGTAAAATATTTGTGTCTGTGACTCACTTTTATTTAAAATTAAGAAAGCAAATTTTCCATCGATTAACTTAAAAGAAAAGCCTAGTCAATCAAGAGAAGGTAAAACATTATATATTATAGAAAAGAACCTGCCGCAATCTTGGATTAATGCTTGGATTCCTTACGTAAAACTCAAAGCAAGGTTACGTTGTTTTAGCAAAGTTACTTTTTTTTCCTAACATTATGAACTTACATGCTAAATTTGAATGAAATTCACGTGTGAATGGTGTTATTCCAGCTAGTTTAAATCATTTTGACTCAATCCGACCTTTTTGCGATGTTTGAGTGAAATTTCTTCTTGAAGATCTCTAAATTAAAGGTTAACATCATGGACATAACCATAGTTTCCAAAATGCGGGTAAGAAAGATGAATGCTGTATGCTATCTGATTCATATCCCCCTGTTCCCTTTTAACTGTCGCCTGCGATTAACAGAAATAAAGGACAAAAAGACATAGGAAATGGTTCCCAGCGAAATAAATACAATAGTTTGTCTTGGGTTCAAAATTAACTCTGTTTGTCAAGAAGTCTGAATAAAATGAAGTTAAGGAAGAAAATGCTTTCCAAGCTCTGAAGAAAAGGCTACCCTCCAAAAAAAAAAGTTCATAAATACCGACAGGAGTTGGGTTTGTTTCTTTTTAGCGAAAAGGACACAATGAGTTATCTGCGCTCTGCCTACCGTGGGAAATCGGATTCCGGGTTGTAGCGTGCAAGTCCTAAGCTTAACGCTGAAACATCGGGGGACATTGGAGTGGGGTAGTGTAAATTTGCAAGTACTTCTGCGAGATAATACGTCACGGCGAACTAATTAAATACATAAGCTATTAAGTGCTACCGCTAGATATAACATTACAAAAAAAGGAGGCAGGAGTAACCCAGCTAAAATCAAAATGAATAAATCAGACGGACCAAAAATCAACAAGGTAGCTTCGTGAAGTTACCACATAATTTTTATTTTTGAAAGCTACACAGCTTCTGAATTCTGTAGCAGCTGTCTTTGCCTGTGTATGTTAGACTAACGATCGAATATACAGCGGTTTCTGTGTAGTTCACATTTGTATCTTGATGAGAAAAATATAAATTAATCGATAGGAGTACAGTTGAGAAACGACATTTACAGGGGTAAACGGTGTGGTTTAAAAGCGTTAGAATATCCACATAAATTTCCTTCTTATTTGAGTTTTCTGTTGCAAATCTTTATAAATAACTCATTCGAAAACACACTGGAATAAAGACTGTTGTTCTTATTGTGTTGTACTTTCAATTAGAAAAACGAAAGAAATATTTCAATTATTATTTCAGTAAAAAATAATGTCTAATGTCATCAGTCGTAAAAAGTTTAATAACTGTCTGTACTCTGTAAAGAATATATGCACATATCAAGCCTATTTATTTATAAACAACGGTTAACACTATTCATTACGTTTACAAGTTCAGTTCCAGTTTTTTGCAAGCTTGAGCTGTAAGGGGCAAAAGGATGTATAGGGATTCGCCAATATAGTTTGGCCAAATGGATGGGGTAAACCACCCACCTTTTTGCATTATTGTGCTAAGGAAAAATTCATGTTTAGCAGCAAGTACACGTAGTTCACTAGGAGCTCGTCTTTAATACTGGAACTGCGAGTCCATGGCTGGAGATTGGGGTTCAGGATAACTTTGGGGATGTTGTGGAGGCATCTGCTTCAGTTGTTCCTGCCGCTGGTAGTGAAAAATTGTCTCCTTGTAGACGAACCATAAACTAGAAGCCCACAACAGGCAGTTTGCAAAACCAGAAATCTGAAAAAACAACAACAACAATAAAACAACTTGAAAGAATTTAGAATGAGCAAGTATTTTTTTATACTAAATTCTGAAGCTATAAGACATTGCTAGAAAGAAACAACCAGGAATGGTATGGTTCTGGTTCGCAAGCAGTTTTATGAAACAACAACAAACTAACTAAATGTTGCGGAAAAGAAATAAGGCAATTCATTGAAGTTAATTGCAAACCTTTTGCAAAACAATAAATGGCATGAACGTAATGTTGGGTGTTAATCTTTAACTCACGACATAAAACCGAAGATAAGAGGCTGTCGGCAAAGCGTTTCCAGTGAAAATAATATATATTTTGACAAATAGAGTTTTGAGAGTCATAGAAACGTTGTGCTTCTGAAATGTCTGTCGCGCAAGATATATGTTGTATATGATTAGCACTTGTTCAAATACCTTTTTATTCTTAAAATAATAGTCACAGAAGACTTACCAATGACACGTTTAAGGTTGCAAAGTTTCCATATGAAATAGCATCACATATCGCCAAAGTGCCACAAACTTCAAAGTTCTTAATCAAGATGTTGGGATCTGTATAATACTTCATGTCACTAACTCCTTGGGAATAGGCACTTGAGCCAGCTAGCCAGAAGATAGTTAGAATACCAGTAACTCCAAGATCCTGAAACAATCAAGACATAGATTACCCATCATCCAGATTTGTATGGTTGAATTTCTCGCAAAGCTACTCGAGGTCTACCTGCGCTAGCCGTCCCTAGTTTAGAAGTGATAGATTAAAGGGAAGGCAGCTAGTGAACACCATCCATTGCCAACTCTTGTGTTTTATCAACGAATGGTGGAATTGACCGTCACATTATAACGGCTGAAATGACGGGATTCGAACACGGGACAATGTAACATGCAGTGTATGGATAGGATAACTAATAGAAATCGTTAATATAAATCTGGAAAGTTAAAGTAACGAATAATAGATCACTATCTATTGTTATATAGCTTCTAGAAGGTAATGTCTCGTAGACAACGATTACTAAAACAAGACAGCATTTTAAAGCGACTTTAAAAAAACCTTCACAATGATATAAATATAAAGTCAGTTCCTCATGTGCACCAAATTAGTTTGACACACAATTGTTTGACTTCATAAGATTCACTTAAGAACATATTTGTGCAGCGACAACCCCACCCCACAAAAGCAGAATAAATAAATGTTTGTTTGTTTGTTTTGAATTTCACGCAACGCTACACGAGGGCTATCTGCGCTAGCCGTCCCAATTTAGCAGTGTAAACTAGAGAGAAGGCAGCTAGTCATCACC